TCGGGATGTGCAGTTTGATGAAATAAAAACTGCTGAAACAGTAGGAGAATAACAGCAGCAGTTTGTTGCTAATCGGTTACATCCTGCTGAACAACAGCAGTTTGTTGATTTGTTTGATCCGGAGAATTCCGATGCCGCTGTACCTGCACCTATAGTAGCGGAAAATGATGTTGTGAATAATGGTAGACCAGTGAGGCAAAGAGCCTTGCCTCATAGAATCCGAGATTGCGAAAGGTTTCAAGATAACGAAGTGAATAATGATGGTGATTTTGTTCATTTCGCGCTTATGGCCGAATCTGAACCGGTAAATGAGGAGGAAGCCTTAAGTGATCCTAAATGGATATGTGCAATGAAAGAGGAGCTGGAATCTATTGAGAAAAATAGTACTTGGGAGTTGGTCTATTTACCACTTGGAAAGAAACCGATAGGTGTGCGACGGGTCTATAAAGTTAAAGCAAATCCTAAAGGTGAAGTAATCAAGCACAAAGCTCAATTAGTGGCGAAAGGGTTCTTGCAACGTGAAGGCATAAACTACGAGGAGGTATTCGCACTGGTGGCTAGATTGGAGACTATTTGTTTGGTTGTTGGAATTGCGCATAGTAACAATTGGGTGATTTACCAAATGGATGTGAAATATGCGTTTTTGAATGGTCCTCTTGATGAGGAGGTTTATGTGGGGCAGCCACCCGGTTTCGTGATAAAAAATCAAGATAAGAAGTACTACAAGCTACACAAGGAGTTTTATGGTTTGAAACAAGCTCCGAGAGCTTGGAACAAACGTATAGACGGCTTTCTTATTGACATTGGTTTCAAACGGTGTGTATCCAAACATGGTGTTTATGTGAGATCGAATACTATTGATGGTATTATTATACTTTGCTTGTATGTTGATGATCTCTTGATTACGAGAAGCAATAATAAGAGTATTTCAAGGTTCAAAGTGGAGCTCATGAGTGAGTTTGAGATGACAGACCTTGGTGTCATGAGTTACTTTCTTGGCATAGAGTTTCACAAGTCAAAAGTGGGGCTGCTTATGCATCAAAGGAGGTATGCTCTAGATATCTTGAAAAAGTGTGAGATGGAGTATTGTAATGATTCTATTACACCTTGTGAGGCTAGAGTACAGCTGTCCAAAAGTGATGATGAGGATGATGTGGATCCAACACTTTACCGGAGTTTTATTGGGTCGTTACTGTACTTGTGCAATACTCGACCGGATTTGGATTTTAGTGTCGGTATTGCGAGTAGATTCATGGAGAGACCTAAGGTGTCTCACTTGGCGGCGGTCAAGAGAATCCTTAGATATGTGAAAGGTACTCTTGGTTGTGGTATTTTGTTTCCCACATCGGATATGGGTCGCAAATGTACTTTATTTGGCTACACCGATTCTAATTGGTACGGAGATAAAGATGATCGAAAATCTACGGTGGGTTACATCTTATGTTCGGTAGTACACCAATCTCATGGTGTTCGAAGAAGGAACCAGTTGTAGCACTCTCTTCTTGTGAGGCCGAGTATATTGCGGCATCATTGAGTGCTTGCCAAGCTATGTGGTTAGTGAATCTTATGAAGGAATCGGGATGTGGTGATGATGATGCCACCACACTGTTTGTGGATAATGTTTCCGCGATAAATCTTGCGAAGAATCTGATTGCACACGGAAGGAGCAAGCATATTGAGATGCGGTTTCATTTACTTGAGAGGAATTGGTTGGTGATGGAAAGCTTAGATTGAGTTATTGTCGAAGCGAGGACCAAGTTGCGGATTTGTTGACCAAGGGTGTGACAAATGAAGTGTTCAAGAGACTGTTGAAGAGCTTGAACATGATGAACTTGGAGCAACTAAAGTAAGGTGGTGTGTTGTGAGCTGTTAAAAATCTGTTTTTTTTGAAAATTCAGCAAGCTGTTGCTAATCGATTACAGCTGTTAGATTTTCCAAAAATAGCAGAATTTAACAGCATGGCACTTTAGTTGGTTTTGGTTATTAGTTGTACTATTCTCTCGTGTTGTGGTATATATACATTGTTGTAATCCCAATTCAAAGTTAATGCCATTTTGATTCACCAATATTACTCTCTCTCTCTCTCTCTCTCTCTCTCTCCTCTCTCTCTCTCTCTCTCTCTCTCCTCTCTCTCTCTCTCTCTCTCTCTCTCTCTCTCTCTCTCTCTCTCTCTCTCTCTCTCTCTCTCTCTCTCTCTCTCTCTCTCTCTCTCTCTCTCTCTCTCTCTCTTTCATCTTTATCAAGTTTCTTTTCACCACTGTTACTACCTTCAAAGCTCTGATTTTATGTTTTATGTTGTTCTAACATCAAAGGCATAGTGCAAAAGCTCAATTATACATAGTCCAATTGAAATAATTCAAGGCACACTTTTTTGTTTCTATGTTTTACGACAACTCATTTTAAACTATGTAATTAATTATACTATTGAAATGTTAATTTTACAGATTTATTCTATACCACTATATTAGAGATCAACATCAGTGTTTTCAAGATCCTACATCAACGATCGATACTAATTATAGTTGTAATACAAAACACTATTTAAATCATTTTTTTATTTGAAAATAAATTTCTTTACCATTTTTTACAATAAAAATATATAATAATATAAAAGTTTTTTTAAAATTTTTTTTTAAACAAACGTGTCCTTATCTCTCAGTTTATTATATTTTAAGTTGCGAATTCTCATAATATATAAAAAAAATTCGAGACTTGAATTGATTAAATGTAAACTCTTTTATGAAGCTCCATGCACCCTTGTGAAGTGGTCTAATAAAAAATAACCATGTTTGATTCACGTGTCATTTTATTAGCTAGATATTACTATTTTTTTAATTAAAATAAAATTCAATAAAATAAAAATAGAGAACCAAGTTACACAAAAGAGATCAAACCAAGATCCTTAATAACAAAGTCTAAATTTAATTGTCTAGTGAAATTCTTAGTTAATAAATCAAGGTTAACTACAAAATCAACACAAAAATTGACTTTACGATAAATATGAATATCATGAAATCAATGATAAGAGTGTAGTATCAACAACTAAATCAACTCAGATTTGATTTTTCAAGAAATAATATTAGAGTTTGAGAAGGCATTCACCACTAGCATACAATCTGTTTCTATCTGAAGTTTTTTCCAATTAAGCTCTCTAGCTTTCTCAATAGCAATTAAAGCTGCCAATAACTCAGTCGATTCCAAAGTCCCCACACCAAGAAAGAAATAAAAACTCCCAATATAATAAGCATTGTTGTTGTACCCCAAAATTTGCCCTCCCTTTCTTCAGGAAACCATCTTAGATTTTTCAAACCCACACACAAAGCACCATTTCAAACAATTGAAAATCAAGGCAAGTTGATCTAAGCAAGTAACTAAGAGCCCATGGATAACCATGGATAGAAAGGGTGCTAATACCTTCCCTTTCTATAATCTACTCCCCGAACCCAAGAAAACATCTCAAAGGTTTTTGCTGTGCTTTTTAAACCTTTCCTTAGGATAAAATAAAAAGTCGGTGGCGACTCTTGCTCAACCGCACATTTGCGAAAACAAACGCAAAACCTCAAGTCAGTTCTCCCACCGTATCACAGAACTGGCGACTCTGCTGGGGATTTACCATTTTAAAAGTGGAGTAACCTTAGGGCTTAGATCACCCTCTTGCATGACTAATTGTTTGATTTGCTTGCTTTATGCTTTGGCTCTATTGTTTGGGTTTACAATCCTCCACCCGGATTTTGGGAAACATTCATAGATAGCAATACGTTGTGGAAACTGTGCGGGGTATACCGACACGGTCTAAGCAATAGCTATATTAGTGCGACATATTTGTGAGTACCGGTAACCCTTGAGTTCAATCAAGGAGAGTACGGGGCCGCTGAGTGATGTCACTAAGCACTAATGACCTAGAACCTTACTTGACCATCTTGGCCTTTCATTAGGAGTAGTGAGATGACCGGCTTTGGTGCAGTCCGAAGTTGGTAGATACTCGATACTACACTCATTGAGGGTTGTTTTCTTGGAATATTTTGGTCGCTAGTTAAGTGGCTAAACCGAAACAATGAACATTGAAAACAATCCAATGATATTGAGCTCCTTAGAACCCGGTTACTATTTATAGGACAGGTTTTTAAGCCAACTACACTCAAGAGGGTACTTACCTATGAAACCCCAGGCCAGCCTGAAACTAGGGTTTGGTGTGATTTGCTTGTACATATGTTTTATGCATACATCATAAACATCATGAAGCATCATATGCATTTACTAACCATTTCAAGGGTTTTGGATCTTCATCTTTGTTCTTGTTTTGCAGGACATGGAGATTCCTCGCAGAAATACCATTCAAGTCAGCCTTGTGAGAATCTCCCCTCAACTCAAGGAGCTCACCTCAAGAATTCCGGAAAATTCATCCTTCAGTGAAAGACATGGTAGACTGCTCAGCCTAGTCAACACCAACATTGAAGAAGACATGATGAAAGTGCTATTCCAGTTCTTTGACCCTCTTCACCACTGTTTCACTTTCCCCGATTATCAGTTGGTACCCACTCTGGAGGAGTTTTCTCAACTCCT